TTAAAGTAAATTTATTGACGCTTCAATGTTTACTTCGGAAATCGTCATCAAAATACTAACGTTAGTTTGGTCAAGTGAGAGAGAGAGAGAGAGAGAGAGAGAGAAACGATATGGTCAAGTCGAACGAGATTTAGGAAAATGAATGACAACGACTACCTGTCGATAACCGTACACCATATACAGCCGACACTTTAAAAATAATAAACAAGGGACTTTCCTTGGCCTATACATTGTCCACACACAAAAAGGAGCCAGAAGTACCCAGCCTGACTGCCATTGGTTCTATCAGTGTATGAAGCAAATCAAAAAATGTTCGACTCCCAAATTCAACAAATTTGGTACTCAATATTTGTGTTAAATGATTTTACTTTGATATTCTTCATTAATCTAAAAAATCTGCTCGGCGAACTGAATAGATATGACATAGATATAACAGCTTTGCAGGAAATGAGATGGACCGAAATTGGTACCATTGACAAAAGACACCACATTATATTCTATAGTTGCAACGCTAAAGACTACGAACTAGGTACTGGATTCATTGTAAATAAAGAGGTTAAACACCTTGTAAGAGACTTTCATGCTATGTACTCTAGAATGTGCATCCTGAGACTAAAGGGAACATTATTATAGCATCTTAAATGTGCATGCCCCTACAGAGGAAAAGGAAGACCATGTCAAAGAAAAATTATATGAAGAACTAGAAGCTGCATACAATTCATGCCCAAAGAATGACATCAAAATTATTTATGGTGATCTCAACGCAAAAATAGGAAAAGAGCAACAATACCTACCAACTATAGGTAAGCACAGCCTTCATGAAGTTTTCAATGACAATGGCATCAGACTAATAAATCTAGCAACTTCCCTTAACATGGTCATTGCCAGCACATGCTTCCAGCGAAAAAATATTCATAAGAGAACGTGAAGATCTCCAGATGGAGTTACAGTAAACATGATTGATCATGTTATTATTGACTCTAGGCATCACTCAGACGTAATAAACGTATGCAGCAGACGAGGAGCAAATGCAGACTCGGATCACTACCCAGTAGAAAGTAGAATAAGAGCCAGAAACATTAAAAAAGAAAAGGGATCCAAAATTGAAAAATATGAAATAAAAAACTTAGCAGACAACAGCAAAAAGGTACAATATAAAGAATATATAAAAGAAAGGCTAGAAAACAGACAAAAGCACGAAGATATAAACAGAGAATGGGAAGCGTGTAAAAACATCATACAAGACGCGGCCAAAGAGACCCTGGGTCTACAAAAAAGCTCAAATCAACTGAAGGACAGTGGTTCGATGAAGAGTGTCGTAACATAACAGAGAGGAAAAATAATGCATATCAACGACTACAACAACGACATAGAACACGAAAGGCAGAGGAGGAATATAGAATGCTAAGAAGGGAAGAGAAGAAAATACATCGCAGAAAAAAAGAGAACACATAGAAAAAGAACTCCAAAAAATGGAAGATTTAAATAAACCATCAAAAGCCAGAAAATTCTACCAAAAACTTAACAAAAATAGAGAATAATTTTAACCAAAACAATGATGTGCAGAGACAAAGGAGGAGATATAGTAACTTAACAGAGTGAAATACTACAAAGATGAACAGAATTCTTTTAAGAAAAGTTTGAAACAAACGAATATCCACTATATGGTAGAATTACACTGGATCAAACGGATACCAGAGAAACAACACCCCCTTCAGTAGCTGAAATGCAAGAAGCAGTTGCCAGACTGAAAAACAACAAGTCACCTGCATTAGACAACATTAGCGCAGAATTAATACAGGAAGGCAGAGACTCCCTATTGAATGCGATACACGAACTAATAGTGAATATATGGAATAATAAACAACTGCCACAAGACTGGAATACTACTTCAATGTAAAAACTACCGGGCAATAACGCTACTAACTGTGGCATATAAAATACTGTCAAATATTGTGTATGGCCAATTGAGACCATATGCGGAACAAATAGTTGGGGGATATCAATGTGGTTTCTGCAGGCAGAAGTCCACAATAGATCAGATCTTCGTCTTGAGTCAAATCTTGGAGAAGACTAGTGAATTTAATATAGACACACATAATCTTTTCATTGATTTTGAGAGTGCCTATGATAGCATCCATCAAGAATTTCTGATTCATGCACTGAAAAGTTTAATATTCCAACTGAACTCATTGATTTAAAGTACAAAACAAAATTCGAATTCAAAAAGCACTAACACATACAATTCATGTGAGAACGGGCCTACGACAGGAAGATCACATTAGAGAAAATAATTAGGAGTTAAAAGTCAACACCAGAGGAACAATAATAACAAAAAGTGTACAAATATTGGCATTTGCAGATGATGTTGATATCATAGCTAGAAGCGAAAGAGAGATGATAGAAGCATTTAATGCGATAGAAAGAGCGGCACAAAACAGTGGCCTAAACATTAATGAAATAAAAACCAAATACATGAAGGCCAGCAAATCGACAGGCCAAAGAAACCTACAGAATCTGACAATAGGAGACTATAACATCGAAAGCGTGAAAATTTTACATATCTAGATTACTAGTTACCGCAGATAACAATGTCAGTGAAGAAATTAAGAGAAGAATACATATCGCTAATAAAACATATAATGGACTAATTAAACATATAAGATCTAACGACCAAAAGCTCTCCTGGAAAAAACATACAGAAGAACTTAAAAAATCATGCCAAACAGGACTAAATTTTATGAAAACTATTTCCAGCAAAAACTGGGGAGCAGATCAAAATACACTATTACATGTATATGTTACGAGCAAAGCCCGAAATTGGACAATAATAGCATTGTACGGAAATTATTGTTCACTTCTAGCATTGTACCCCCAAACTGTACAATGTCCGAAATGACCAAAATTAAAAATGATTATCTAAACGCACACCAAATCAAAAATCGAACAGTTTGATCTTTTATATTTATATATTATAGAGTTATTCTTTTTCAAATCGACAATGTGATAAAATGCTAAGTCAAACTAAAATATAAATAATAAGAAAAAAATTGTTCTAAAATAAATAGAGTGATAATGTTAGTAAAAATCGATATGAATCGATATATGTCATATTCTCCGAAACTTTGATGCATGGCTACTTCTTGAAATTCAAACAGTGTACAGCAATTCTTTTACATACAGTCCACCGATTATGTCTATTTCGGAGATTGTACAGAAAAGGGGTACAATGCTAGAAGTGGACAAGATTTTTCGTACAATGCTAGGATTGTTCAATTTCGGACATTGCTCGTAACATATGTTAATCTTTAATTAGATCCAAACTCGACTATGGTGCGATAGTTTATTCATCAAGCAAAGTATCAGTATTGAAAACATTAGAAACTGTTCAAAATACAGCTTTACGAATAGCTACAGGTGCGTTTCGAACGACACCAGTTGAAAGTTTACAATGCTTAACAGGAGAACCACCACTAAGTTTACGACGCAAATACCTTTCTCTCTCATATGCTTCTAAAATAGCTAGTAATAAAGAACACCCTACTTATACCAATACGTTCACAGATCGATTTCAAGACACTTTCTCTACAAGAAGACTAGATCCACCATTTTACGAAAGAGTTAGAAGAAACCTTCATGACCTACATCTTAAATTTCCTGAAATTCTCCCAACAAATTTCCTAACTTCTCCACCTTGGTTAATACCAATTCCCAAGATTAATACTAACCTTAGTATATATAAAAAACGTGAGACTATAACAGACCTGATCAAACAATCATTCTTAACAGAAATGGAAACTTATAAAAATCACTATAAGATATACACTGACGCATCCAAATCTTCAGACGGTGTTGGTGCAGCCATCCTTACACCCAATACATCCTTAAAATTTAAATTCAATCCCATTACTTCGTCATATACTGCGGAGTTGTTTGCAATATTACAAGCACTTATCCACATAAAAGAGTCGAAACAGTCCCCGTCTCTCATAATAACCGATTCACTAAGCTCACTTCACACTATCAAACGTTTATATACCAATAATCCAATTTCCTCACATATCAAATCAGAAATAGAGATTCTAAATAATAATAAGATCACTGTTGACTTTATGTTTGTTCCATCACATTCAGGTATACAAGGAAATGAAGAAGCAGATGAACTAGCCCGCTTAGCATCCTTCAGCCAGGACTCCATTCTTATTAATGAGGTTTCTTCAGATGACTTTAAGTCAGAAATAAAACATAAAGTGTTAAGTGCGTGGCAAAATAAGTGGAGTGCATCACAAAATAAACTCAAGGAAATCAAACAATTAGTGAAACCGTGGCTCCAACCCACAGCGAATAGACACGACCAAGTGAGAATAACACGTTTGCGACTAGGACACAGTAACTTTACACATAAACACCTCTTTACGCGAACTGTGCCGCCAATGTGTGAAACGTGTCAAGTAACACTCTCCGTGAAGCATATACTAACTCAGTGCAAAACATATGAAGCAGCAAGAAAGAAGCACACTATACCAAATAATATAAAGGAAGCCCTAGGAAAAAACATGAACATTAAAAACACAATAAATTATCTTAAAGACTCAGGACTGTATCAATTATTGTAATTTTTTTCTAACTTTACCTGTATTATACATTTAGGTTGCTAATAATCCTGGTGGTTACAGTGCAAATAAATAAAAAAAAAACATAACAAGAAAAACCAAATGCAAAATATACAAAACCCTGATAAACCCTGATAAAACCGGCCATGGATTGTATATGGATCAGAGACATGGACACTGTAGAAAAGCGATGAGAACCTATTAGGTACTGATAATGCTGATTCTTCATTAATCCAAACAAATCTTTCATTTTATCAACAACAGCAATTTATATTTGTAATTATCAGCCCAACTTATAAATAAACCGGCTATTTGATTAATAAGAATGCTTTTAACATTTCACATTTAACTTATTTGATAAGTAATAAAAACAAATAAAGCACTTACCACGTTACAATGTTGCTTACTCCCATATTAAGCTCACCAAAGCACTGGCGATTTGCACGTTTATTTTTAAGTACTCGTTAATTCATTACTCCAACATTGCCAGACTAATAAAATGTTTACTAGCATTGTACTTCAAGTTTACTTTTTTATTGATAATGTACGCAATATGAAGCACTTTTTACATAAACAACGTCAGACGGTTTTATCTTAATCTGGAGGTAATGTTCTGAAACAAAGGAAACAAGAATTTAATTACTAAGGTGTTATTATAGTACTACTTAAAAATAATTCATTTCAATTTACTTTAATTATAAGAATATGCTAGTCGAAAATCTAATAGTGATAGTGACCATGCACATACAAAATTAAGTGTGCTACTATAATAATTGTTTTTTAATGCTTGATAGAACAGTAGAGTTTAACCATACACTGCCCACTGTAGCAGATTTGATACGGTCTGGTAAAATTTCATATATTTTTATTATAGAGTAAATTTTATTAGAATGTATAAAACACTAAAAACTTTGTTTTGAAACTTCCACAAAATTTATTTTAAATATTATCACTACAGCTGTTTCGGCTGATTGCCTTTCTCAAGTGATCTATTTTGGCTTGGGTTTACAAATTTATAGTCTCTAATGAAATAGGTTGAGGAGGGGAGAACTGTTTGTCTCAAGTTGGTCATTCAGAATTATATCTGTGTTTTTTAATTTGTTGATTTCCATAGATTCTAACAAAGATAGCTTAAGGCCTTTATTTTGAATGTGAAGAATTTTAAATTTGTCATTAAAAGAATGATTATGATCTAGAAGGTGAAGTGCGTATGTCGAATCTGTTTTTCTATTCTTGAAAGCCCTTTTATGTTCTGCTATTCGTTTATCAAAGTTTCTACCAGTTTGACCGATGTAAGTTTTTGGGCAGTCGCCACATTGAAGTTTGTACACACCACTATTTAAGTGTTTTTTATTTTGGCTCTTGTTATTTTTAATATATTTGCCTAGGTTGTTATTTGTTCGGAAAGCTGGTGTTATTCCTTTCTTTTTTATGTGTTTGGCAATTTTTGTTGTTATTTTGCCTGTATATGTAATCGAGCAGAAGGTACTGGGTTTTTTCTCTGGTGGTGGAAATACTAATTTTAGGGCTTTCTTGTGTAGTTTTTGATTTAACATTTTATTAATTGTTTGTTCGTTGTATCCGTTGTTTACTGCTATTTGCTTAATTATATTTAATTCTGTCTCAAAGTTGTATTTTGACATCGGAATTTCTGTTAATCTATGTAACATACTATGATAAGCTGCCAGTTTATGTTGTGTTGGATGGGATGATGAATTGTGTATAGTCGTGTCAGTATGGGTAGGTTTATGAAATATGGAGAAGTCATGTTTGTTTTGAAGTCTGCTAATTTTTAAATCTAAAAAATTTATGGATTGATTTTGTTCTGTTTCTATTGTAAATTCAATATGACTATGAAGTGAATTAATATACGATAAAAATTGGTCGAGTTGCCTGTTAGTTCCTGTGAAACATACCAGTACGTCGTCTACGTATCTCCACCAATATACAGGAATACATTCACATTTCTGGAAGGTGTCTGGAAGGTTATAACCGTTATATACCGTTATTTGTATTAATTTACAAGCAAAACCCGTGAAATTGTGCTTTGAGGTGTATTTATTCTAATACGAATAGATCGAATGGAACAAATGGACGAATAGTCAATGGATATCGAATTAGAAGATGGAAACTGTTTTGCTGTCTTCAGCTACTATTAAAGAATCTAAAGAAAAGGTCAATGAAGGCGAAATTATCGCACAAATGCGGACTACATTTGTGTCTAAACAAAACTAATAAGTGTGTCGTTAACATTTCATTCTATTTAATTAGTTAAAATTGCAATTTTACTTACAAGTGTGTCCAGTGTAGCATATTTGATACAACTCATTTTTTATTATTGATAAGTATCTAGATATCAACCAAAATTTTTTAAATTATTCTTCCCATATTCTGTACTTCTGTATTTATTCCTTGTTTCTTCATAATGTTCAGGAATTCTGTATAAAATTTGTCAGGCCCTACAGCTTTACCATCTTTAATTTTTCTAATAGCTGCCGTGACTTCTTCAATGGTAAACGGGGGTCCTGTTTGGCATTATACGTCTTCAATGGCAATCTGCCTTTCACATGCAAATCTTACATCCACATATTTCTTCCAGGTGTCTTGTCTCTCTTCCACACTTAGTAGTGGATTACCTTGGTTGTCTGCCAAACATCCAACTCTTCTAGGTTTGTATAAGCCTGCAGCTTCTTTAACTTTTTTATGCATATTGAATGAATTGTGTTTCTGTTGGAATAGCTGTATTTCCGCACATTATTCTCTCAGTTGTGTGTGCTTAGCTATTCCGATTGTTTTTGGATCTCTTTCTTCTTCTTCTTCAGATGCAAATCCACTAATGGATGTTAGCGATCACATTTTCCATTAATTCTCTATCTCTTGCAATATGTATCAGAGATTGTATGTCGTTAATCCTGTCCATTGCCTTATGTTTCGGAGCCAGGACATTTTCTTGCGTCCCATTCCTCTCTTGCCTTCAATTTTACCCTCGATTACAAGTTGGAGGAACTGGTATTTTTCATTTCGCATGATGTGACCTAGATACGCCGTTTTCCTTTTCTTGATGGTTTCGAAAAGTTGGCGTTCTTGGTTTCTTGGTTTGTGATCTTTGATCTCTTTGTCTATTCTTTTGTATAATGTCTTGTCCTGGTCTTTGACCTTTCGCCTCTCTTCCATCATATCTAGAATCTCATTTGTCATCCTCGATTTTTTCTTAATTTTTGGTGGTTTGAGGAATTTTTTTGTATGTCTTGTGAAACTTTATGCAATTTTTCAAGCTCCTAATCTATTAAATTCGTTTGAAGAACGTGTATGGAATATGGTCACTTGAGCCTTTTGCCTACTTTAAATTTTTCAGTCAACTTCTTGGTACTAATGCAACTTTTTTACTTTCTTTAATGATATCCATTTGTTCGTTGATAGAAAAGCGTTTCCTTTTTTCACCGTACTCGTTAGTTCTAAAACAATACTAGTACTAGTGTACAGAATCTCTAGTAAGTAACATTCATACAGATTGAAAGAAGATATCTTCAACCAAGCTCTAATTACTAATAGTGATTTTTCTAGATACTTCTAATGATTAATGTAATTTTAGCAAAGAAGTTGCTACAATGAAATAAATTTTCTCTCTGCTATCAATTTGTAAGCTAACTTATAACCTTATATTATGTCACACGCTGCACTTTATACATCAAATTTTTGATATTCTTCCAACTGTATTTATTGAGATAATTATTTTTAAGCTGTAGTATATCCACAGCCTATTTATCAAAATAGTATAGCTATATTTAGTTTTGAATATAATTTTAATAGATAACATTGCAAATAATAATTTGCAAGTAAATTATTCTTAAAAAGCTTCTATTAATATTTGCATTATCATAATTATCATGTTGACTCCACTATAAATAATATTTTTAATAGTTTTTCTATATATTATGTAGCAAGGCCGACAAAACTCGTTTGAAGTTATTAATATAAATTTGATGCCGAAAATTATATGTTTTAGTTAAAATACCTTGATGAATTACATACAACTCTGTCGTATCGATCAGGTATTTTATTGAGCAAATAAATGAAGTGAATATATATAGACAGCGATTCAACAATCTGATATCTTAGAAACGGTATTATTAGATAACCAATTATTAAAAAATTAAGACTCACAAAAGCCGAAAGACCTAGCCAATTGCAATGAAAGTCTCATTTCACTGTGTTTTACATTTTTTCGAAAAGTTGGTATCTTAGAGCATTGATTATAAACCACTACTACTGGAAGGTTCAAGTAGGTTTCTTATTATTGGTATGTCATTATAGGGCCAATTCTTATGGAAATTAACATGGGGAAATCGCTAAGGTTCATTCTGGTCATTTTTGTCTCATGTTGTAGTGGAGGCGCGTCGGCTCGTCGGATCGTGGCGTGTAGGGTATCGTTGGAAAGCGGAGGGGACGGAGAACACGTTGAGATAAAAATCAAACGCAAACAATGTGCCAAAACGGCGCTATCTCCGTTGTTATTGGTTCGAGTGTGACGTACGCAGGCTCGTTGGAATGGGGAGAGGGTAGCGAATACGTTAACATAAATTCAAAACCTGTTCAAAACCGTTCAAAACCTGTTCAAAACCAGTTCAAACCAGTTCAAAACCAGTTCAAACTGTTCAAAACCAGTTCAAAACAGTTCAAAACCGTTCAAACCAGTTCAAAACCTGTTCAAAACCAGTTCAAAACCTGTTCAAAACCTGTTCAAAACCAGTTCCCATGTATGTTTGTATGTTCCCATGTTTGATCGCCAGTAATGTTTGGTGTGTTATTATGTCTTAATGTTTCTTTGTATTTTCCAGGCTCTTTGGGTATATATTTAACTGTTTTATTTGTTTTGGTTTTTTTACGAAATTTGATACGGAATTCGGATTGCAACAGTTTATGGTCTGTTAACTGGACTGTAATGACGATGATATCGACAAATAAAAAGAATATAGACCCTAACACAACCAAAAATCCGAAAATCTAGGAGGTAAAAGGAGTTAAGAAAAGAAGGAGAAGATATTTATTTCATTGTCTCCATAATACGATGTTAAAATTAAAAATTTGACAAACTACGTTTTTTTGGTGGGCAGTGTATTTAGAAATAATTGATTAGTTAAATATTATATAAACAAACTGTGTTAATTAAATACAGGGAAGTTCAATAATAAAGAAAACTAAATTATGTGATAAATGTAATATTTAGCACATGTGGTGTTACAAATGTCATCGTTTTATCAGAAAAAAGTTACATTTACATGATATATTTGCTGTTTATTCTATTATCGCGTTAAGTGTTAACCGATAAGTCGGCTAAAAATTAACTATATTTTGCAATAAAGATGTTTATATGTGGATTTGTTAAATACATATGGCATAATATATATAAATAACAGCTTTGATAAAATACTTAATCCTATATTTAGTAATTTAATACTTTGATCTTATTTTTTGTTAAAATTTTAAAATATTTTGTACAAATGGTAGCCAAACAACTTATTTGTGCTTAATTTGTGCTTACACGATAATAATAATACCTAAAAGAGTATAAAAAATAATATTAGACTGCTATTTTTAGAGCTCGTGACTTCT